CATTCTCCCTGTATGTGTATCGGCAAGGTGGCTTTGTGCCTCAGGCAGTGTGAGCAAAACATACTCTGTGCATGCTCAGAGGTACTTGTGAATTTGTGCATTCCAGATGTGAGCCTTGGTGCTAAAACTAGGCTCCAGGCTATGGTAAATTGTGGGGCCAAGAGAAAATTTGCAATTACGAGTAGCTTTGGAGAAGGGGTGTGTGTGTCAAGATGTGAACAGTACATGTTTGGAGATGTCATTAAACTTCTGCTTCTTCCCCCAAATACTACCTCTTCCCCCAAAGCCTGTTTGGTGTGGTGGTTAAGAGTGGCGGACTCTAATCTGGGAGAACTGGGTTTGAATCCCCACTCCTCCACATGCAGCCAGCTGGGTGGCCTTGGGTCAGTTACAAGTTCTCTCAGAGCTGTTCTCTCAGAGCTCTCTCAGCCCCACCTATCTCACAGGGTGTCTGTTGTGGGGAGAGGACGGGAAGGAGATTGTAAGCCACTCTTGAGACTCTGAGTAAAGGGTGGGGTATAAATCCAATTTCTTCTTCATCATCTTCTTCCTCTTCTTCTCTTTCCTCTTCCTCTCCTTCCTGTAGTACCGTAATAAATTGATAGGTGGTAGCATTCTTTTCCCCTCATCTGGATGGCACAGGCTAGCCCCATCTCATCAGATCTCAGAAGCTAAGCAGGGTCATCTCTGGTCAGTATTTGGAAGAGAGTCCACCAAGGAATAGCAGGGGCACACCACCTCTGAACGGTCTCCTACTTTGAAAACCCATCAGGGTCGGTTGCAGCTTGACAGCACCGCAAACATACCTCTTTACACCATGCATAAGTAACTGGCAGATCTCATAGAATGTCAAGATGGCTCCCAGTTTAGATGGTGTTCAATGCGGATTCAACCCGTTGGTAGAGGAGGAGTCCATCTGTGCCTATTAGCCGTGGTGGCTAGATGGAACCTCCAGCGTTCTGAAGCGGTCTCTACCTTGGTACGCCACTTGCCGGGAGTAACAGAAGATGGAGCGGATCTATTCTCTCTTGCTCCTGATTGCAAGACTAGATCTAACGGGTGGAAATGACAAGGGAGTCGATACCGGCTAAATATCAGGAGACACTTCCTAACTGTAAGAGTGGTTGAGCAGTGGGACAGCCTGCCTTGGGAGGTGGTGGAGGCTCCTTCGCTGGACGTTTTCAAGCGGAGGGTATCTTGTAGGGCTCTCTTTCGGCTATGCTCCCGCAGAGTGCAGGGGGTTGGACTAGATGACCTGCAAGGTCCCATCCAACTCTAGCATTGTATGATTCTAAGTGGGGGGACTTTGGGCACTGTGCCTTTGCTGGTGGCTCTCCTGCAGGACATCTGATTGGCCTCTTTCAGAGAAGGAATGCCTGATTAGAAGGAGACCTCAGTCTTCCCTGGGGCCTGACCATCCATTCAATGCACCGTCCTCTGGATTATGCCGCAGTGCTTGTGAACAAAGGTGGGGAGTGGGCCAGACTAAGCTAGTGGGTCACATGCCTTTGTCTCTCTCTCTTTCCCCCTCCAGGCCGTTGCAATAGTCTGCGGTTTCCTCCTCGTCATCCTTCTTTGCATCATCTGCTTCTTCGCAAGCAAGACACGGGCGAAGCTCTGGAGATACGGGAAAGCGAACATTTACTGGGACAAGCCGCCGCCCTTCCAGGAGGGACCCAACGTGGAGGAGTGGGTAAGTGTTGCTCCTCTTTGGATGCCGTTGCCATTCCCTCTAGATTCACACCCACAACCCCCTCATCTTTCCCGGGCCTCCGAGATGGACTGAGCCAGGAGTCTCCAACCTCTTAGAGCCTGTGGAAGAAGAAGAGATTGGATTTATACCCCGCCTTTCACTACCCAAAGGAGTCTCAGAGCAGTTTACAATCTCTTTTCCCTTCCCCTCCCCACAACAGACACCCTGTGAGGTAAAAGAAGAACAAGAGATTGGATTTATACCCCGCTCTTCAGTACCCAAGGGAGTCTCAGAGCGGCTTACAAACTCCTTTCCCTTCCCCTCCACACAACAGACACCCTGGGAGGTAAAAGAAGAAGAGATTGGATTTATACCCCGCCTTTCACTACCCAAAGGAGTCTCAGAGCGGCTTACAAACTCCTCTCCCTTCCCCTCCCCACAACAGACAACTTGTGAGGCGGGTGGGGCTGAGAGAGCTCTGACAGAAACTGCCCTTTTTCAAGAACAGCTTTGACAGAACTACGGCTTGCCCAAGGTCATCCAGCCAGGTGCAAGTGGAGGAGTGGGGAATCAAACCCGGTTCTCCCGGATTAGTGTCCGCGCACTTCGCCACGACACCAAACTGGACCCCTTGGGAGTTCTGTCATGGGGGGGGCATAACCACAAAATGGCTTCCGTGGGAGGTGGGACCAACCACAAAATGGCCACTGCAGGAGGTTCACACACACACACACACACACACACACACACACAGCCCAAATGCAGGGGACTAGAAGAGTAATTTTTTAAAATGCACCAGAAAAGAGGAGAGAGAGAGAGAGAGAGAGAAAACAAACACTATGATCATAGAATCACAGGCTGGAAGGGGCCAGACAGGCCATCTAGTTCAGTCCCCTGGTCAACACAGGATCAGCCTAGAGCATCCCTGACAAGTGTTTGTCCAGCCGCTGCTTAAAGACCACCAGTGAGGGGGGAGCTCACCACCTCCCTGGGTAGCCGATTCCACAAATGAACAACTCTCACTGTAAAAAAAGTTTTCCCTAAGATTAGGGATCCCAAGTCCCCTCGCTGGATCGGGCCCTGGGGGGAACTCCACCCTGACTTCCGCGTCACCCAGAAGGGACGCGGGCACGCCGCCCCGCCCCCAGCGTGCCTGGCATCCTCCCGTCACTTCCAGCTGATGTGTGTGCGGCGCGCGTACGCGCACAAGGCACCGGCCGGGAGCCCCCCGCTTGTGCGGTCTCCAGCTTGTGCGGAGACAGCATTATTTTAGTTTATTTTCGGCTTGTGCTGAAATAGTGTTGTTTTAATTGAGATCCTACTGGGCAGTCACCCCGCCCGGCCACACCCACTTTCTGAAAAGACTTGGCGGGCGCCAGGAAAGGTGTTGGTGGGCGTCCCGGTCAATGCTCCCTCTAAGCTGTGGAGTCTTGTGAGCAGAAATTCTACCTTACGAGCTACTGGCATTAAAGCTGTGTGCGAGCGATTTGGCTGCTGCATAAATCAGTTTCCTCTGGAGCCATCCTTCCTGAGCGGAGACAAAAATGTGTGAGCCGGAGGCTAAAAAACTGTGAGCTAGCTCACACAAACTCAGCTTAGAGAGAACACTGGTCCCGGTGCCCCTGGGCGTGGTTAGGGTTAAGCTCACCGATGCCGAAAGATCTGGCTGGCTTTATTCAGGGAAATAGCACAGGGGCGGCTCCCCTCCTCTCCAGCTCTCTGGCCCCAATCCACCCTCTCCCGTTCCACCTGCTCCCCATATTGAAACGGCTCCTCTGCGGATCCTGTTGCCAATCCACGAGCACCGCCTGTCAAGTGTCCCTGTCTGGGCCTCCTTCAAAATGGGCCGGGTGGCCAGCCTTTGTTATCGTGCGCCGGTGGGAATAATAAATACACGCAGTGACTTTCCGAGGCCTGGATCTGATGGGCCACTAGCCCACAGTCCTGAGTCAGACAGAGAAAGGGCGTGAAGCGGAGATTGGCTTTCCCCGTGCGGCTCTCTGGCGCTCTGGACTGTTTGCTGATGATAGGCTCCGGTTTCGGTCGCATCAATGATTAACCACGGTGGCGACGAGGCCCACAGAGATCCTACGGATTCGCTCCTGGGCACCCCTGAAAGAGGCGGAGGAGGAGCTTACCTCTGAGGCTGTGAAGTTACGATTCCGAGCGTATGGGTATTGCTTACTGAAGGATAATTATGGTCTACTGGGGAGTTGGGGGGGGGATTGCTAATTATGGGGAACCTCTCAGTGCGTACTGATGGACAGGACGTTTTGCAAAGGTGGTTTTGAGCTATGGTGTGGTGCAGCAAGTATGCTCATGTTCTTTGGCAGTAATGCGGAGTTGGGATCTCTTTTTTATTTTTTAATTATTTATTAATTTTCCAAACAAAACAACAACAAAAAAGAAATACAAGTACATAATTTTAGGCACATCTACAAAATCATAGTAAGTTCATTAATCTCTTATATCCGCTATTATTCCAATGAAGTTACATATCGCGCATTTCATACCTTTTTTACTCCTGTATTATATTTATGAAATTTTCCAAATTATCTAGTGGAGCCAAAAACAAAAGACTTAGACATTTAATTATCCCCATATCTGCCACTTATTTTTTATATTAATCACCATCTTAACTTCTATTAAGATTCCTTTGTTATTCCCTTAATATTCATTCTTTTCTTCACCATTCATACATGTATCTCAATCAACTACTTATAAATAGAGTCGGGATCTCTTAAACACAGACTAGAACCCCATTCACAAATGAACACACATGAAGCTGCTGTGTACGGAATCAGACCCTTGATCCATTGCAGTCAGTATTGTCAGTAGCTCTCCAGGGTCTCAGGCAAAGGTCTTTCCCATCACCTGCTGCCTGGTCCTTTTATCTGGAGGTGCCAGGGATTGAACCTGGGACTTTCTGCATGTCAAGCGGACGCTCTACCATTGAGCCATGCCCCTCCCCAGCATGTTTGCATGTTAGAGTACATGGATTTACAATCTGTGTGTGATGTACACTTGGTTTTACTTTTATCCGTGCGTTAAGCCAGTCTTGTTACATTCGACACATAAAGCAGTGAAGGCGTGCTTTGAACTCCACGTTTATCCAGGTTCTGGTCCCCAATTTCGTTTGTACACATGAAGCTGGCCTTCTACTGGATCAGGCCCCTTGGTCCATCAGGGTCAGTATCGCCTACTCAGATGAGCAGCGGCTCTCTGGGGTCTCAGGCGGAGGTCTTTCCCATCACCTCCTGCCAGATCTTTTAAGTGGAGACACTGGGGATTGAACCTGGGACCTTCTGCATGCCAAGCAGACACTCTTCCATTGAGCCACAGCCCCACTTCATGGCTCTCCAGGGTCTCAGGCGGAGGTCTTTCCCATCACCTCCTGCCAGATCTTTTAACTGGAGACACTGGGGATTGAATCTGGGACCTTCTGCATGCCAAGCAGAAACTCTACTAGAGATGTGAAGGCCCAGAAAAAAACCGGAAAAAATCGGGGGGGGGGGACGTTTCCCCCCCTTTTTTCCTGAAGCCACTTTTGTTTTTTTCCGAACAATTGGAAAAATTGAAAAAAGAAAAGAAAAAAAATGATTATGGAACATTTTATTTTAACATAAGAACATAAGAGACGCCAATATTGGATCAGGCCAAAGGCCCATCCAGTCCAACACTCTGTGTCACACAGTGGCCAGAAATACCAGGTGCCATCAAGAGGTCCACCAGTGGGGCCAGGACATTAGAAGCCATCCCACTGTTGACCCCCCCCAAGCACGAAGAAGACAGAGCATCACTTGCCCCAGAGCCCCTATCTATACCTTGTGGCTAATAGCCCCCAATGGACCTCTGCTCCATATGCTTATCTAATTCCCTTTTGAAGCCGTCCATGCTTGTAGCTGCCGCCACCTCCTGTGGCAGTGAATTCCATGTGTTCATCACTTTTTGGGTGAAGAAGGACTTCCTTTTATCCGTTCTAATCCGACCGCTCAGCAATTTCATTGAGTGCCCACGAGTTCTTGTATTGGGGGTGGGGAAAACCCAACTTTTGCAGGGCACTCCCCCACCACCGGCCAGCAGGGGGAAATCCTGCCCCCCCCAAAGGTGACGTGATGATGTCACCAGGAAGTGATGTTATCACGCTGTCAACGCCGTGTGGCGACACTCTGGCTTTTGGGCGAAACTCTGTGGTAAAATCGGCTACAAACCATAGAGTTTTGCCCATAAACTAGAGTGTCGAAGTCGGTGAGGTGATGACATCACTTCTGGGTGAAGCGCATGGGGCAGAAGGTCCAGGAGAGGCCCCAGGATCCTCCTGCCAGCTGCCAGGTAGGACCTGGAAACTCGACACTTAATTGTTCAGAAGTCTTGGAAGCCGACTCCTGTGAACCGCTGGGGTTGTGGCAAAGAAAGAAAGACAGAAAGGAAAAAACCTACAAAAGTCAGCCCAACCCTGTCCTGATGCTTCCACCATTTGCAACTTGAAGTGGTCTATTAGACAGGTGAGGCCTCTACCATCGGAAAGGAGAACTGGGGAAAGTGCAGCAGAGGGCAAGTGAAGCCGTCAAAGGGTTGGGACATCTTCCCTGTAAGCAAAGGCTAAGAAGAAGAGATTGGATTTCTACCCCGCCCTTCACTACCCGCAGGAGTCTCGGAGAGGCTTACAGTCTCCTTTCCCTTCCCCTCCCCACAACAGACACCCTGTGAGGTCGGTGGGGCGGAGAGAGCTCTTTGGAGGACTGCTCTTGAGAGGACGGCTCTGAGAGAACTTGTGACTGACCCAGGGTCACACCAGCAGCTGCCTGTGGAGGCGTGGGGAAACAAACCCGGTTCTCCCAGATTAGAGTCTGTGCCCCTAACCACCACACCAGATTGGCTCTCTAAGGAGTTTGGGAGTCTTTCGTCTGGAGAACAGATGACTACGTGGGGGGACATGACCGAAGTTTATAAAATGATGCGTGGGGTGGAAGAAGTGGGGAAAGAGAGAGAGTTTTTGC